CTAGTGGTGAATAGCCGCTGCACTGCAGTGATCACCACCCTCGAGGTGGGGGGGAAATAACTTAGACTTGTTTCTTCATTACTATAAGCGGTGGATATCGTCTAAATTTGTGGTTCACAAGTGATAACGATTTCAAATCTCCATTCTAGGGTACCAGGGACTAGTAGTAGCACTGAGGTTTGAAATTTGACATGTTTATAGATTAGCTCTTTTGATATCCATATGTAAAGAGAGAAAATGTTGCATGTTCATCAGTGTAATGTCATACGGATCTTTATCACATTCATCTCTGCGATGTCAAGGTCCTTGACATCGCAAGGTGATGTATGAACATAATTGTATCTAAGTTAAAATGGTCTAATTTGGCAATTTAACGAAAACAAACTTAGAACTACAAAGTAGGTTAAAAACTTTACTCAATTATTTAACAAACTTGAAGTTATTTTTATTCAAATATTCATGTTCTCTCTTGTGTTATCATCGATTTAATATCACATTCCAATTCTCTTTTTAAAAATCACACATTTGGATCTAAAATGTACAACTTGAGCCTTGTATAATTAAATGTCGATTATTGCAAACGCGACTATTTGCATTATTTACTTATGGTCACGATATCAAAAACTAGCATTCAAGAAGTTAGACATTAAACTTTACCTTAAATAATAGATGTATTTAAAGCAATGTTGGTGTTGACAGACAAATTTATATACACTATTATATTTGAAGTTTTATTGTACATACCACTACAGGTTTTTAAAAACTAACTAATTATATTGATACAAAAATCTTTGAATTTTCAAATGATTAATATCTAATAATATGTTGTAATCTTAAAATTTAATTTTTACCAAGATTTAGATGAAAATAAAATTTAAATCAAAATCTTTTCAAAAATTTATAACTTGCAACTGTCTATAATTTTTCTTGACTTGAATAATTTATAGATTTTTCAAAAAGAATGATGATGATTATATAACTCATAATTAATTGATAATATCAAAGGATTCAAATGATAAGATTATTTATTCAAATAAAATTGATAAGATTTCAAATGTCATCACATAAAATTTTTACTTAGGTACATTCAAAGTATTATAGTTTTTTACTTCATGTTATGAATTAGCACAACTTTGAATAGGTTAAAAATTTAGCAAAAAATATCCAAAAAAATCATTTTATCTTTATACTTACGTCACTTAATGTTGAAATGTATATTATAAATTCTAACAAAAAAGTTTATTTACATATTTTAACAAACAAGTTGATTAATAAGTAGTTATCAATATATTTGAAAAACATAGTTTATCATCATGATTAATATTGAAAATGTTTGAAACAAATTTTTTTACATCTAACATATATGTTTATTTTATTGAATGTATCATTTCACAAAGTTTTATTGTTGAATAAAACAACATATATATATATATATATATATTAAAATGACCACACAAATTGTTAAAATGATCACACTGAAAAAAAAATTAGTGAAATTGCAAACTCTGTTCAATCAACAAATTTTGGGGCTAAGAAGAAATGAAGTATGATAAACAACGATGAGTATGAGATTCTGGAACTCGTAGAATCCGAGCAGGTTGCTACTGTAGAACCTATCTTCTCCAAGAAGAAGAAGGTTGGGAAGAATGAGGATGAGTATGATATTCCGGAACTTGTACATATCGAGCAGGTAGTCCCTTAGAACCCGAAGAACCTATCTTCTTCAAGAAGAAGAAGTCTGGAAAAAAATGAGATGAGTATGAGAATCTGTAACTTGTAAAATTCAAAAATGTAGCTAGCGTAAAAACCGAAGAATCTTTTTTTCTCCGGGAAGAAGAAGTTCGGATAGAAAGGGAAGATTGGGGCAAAGGTGAATGACGATGAATACGAATGAGTATTGAAAAAATTATTTTTGACACGTGAGGCGTCTGTGATCGTTTTAACATTAGATGTGACCGTTTCAACATTACTATATATATATATATATATATTACATACGTTTGTTTTTTTATAAAACAATGTCATATATAATTCATGATATTCAATGTATGTTAAAAAAGTTACACTCAAATAAGTAAAAAGTAAATTTCAAATTTAATTATGATCAATTTTATTTATACTTATATCAAAATATAAATATATCCAATAGATGAATATGTATATATGTTAAAAATATTATGATATCAGTAAGATAAAATGTTATTCATTATTACATTATATGATTTTGTTGAAGTTTTTATTCAAGTCTTCACATAGTATTTGAATCTAAACATATGAAATTTGTACACACGCACATAATTTGATAATTGATCAAGTCTTATTTTTTTTTTTTATTTTATGAAATATCAAATAATTGAATGTGATTTCAATCATGAATTACACTATTTACATTTTGATGATAATGATCATACTTCAAAATTATACGATGTGCAATATCAAATCTTGAATCAAAATAGACTTTTTTCATCACTTATTATGTATATATAATCTAATTCAATTATATAAATCTCATTCAACAATTAATCAAACCTTTAATCCACCAGTACTAAATACATGAAGAATGAATTAGGTCAATGAAATCTGTTACATCTTTAAATAACTTGTACTTTATGGATGCAACACATGAAGTTAGATCAATTATGTTACTTAGCAAAAATAAATTTAAAAGAAAATATTTATTAAAATCTTGATGTTGTTGAAAAATTAAAAAAAAAATAATATTGATTTTTTTGATATTAACATGCAAAGATCTATACATATAGCACAACATGAGAACATGTCATCAAATTGGAAATTGAAATAAAGAAATGATAAATCTGGAATTTTTTTAATCATATATGTATGCATATATCCTATAATATTTGAATGATAAAATTAATGTAGATCAAAGGACATAATAACAATAATAAAATGTTGATGTTAACAATGATTTTTTTTGAGAATAAAACTTTTCACTAAAAATCTTGATTCAGTCCAAGAATGAATGTTTTACAAATTAGATGTAACATCATGTTCATCTTTGACCTTGGGTCAATGACACAATTAATGAGGTGAAACTTAGAACCCTAAATTATTTGAAACTATTTTCAAACTATCACACAAGATTAAAGCCAAGGGCGTGGGTTGTAGTTAGTGACTTTACCGAGCCAGGCTCGGGAGCGAAGTGCTACAGCCTGTAGGCGATACCGGCGAGATCCAGCCAGATGAGCGCAGGCCGAGGTTATGAGATGAAAGGATTGCTCCCTAAGTCGAGTTTGCTTTTTTTTTAGTAGCAAAATGGATACAATAAAGAAAACTGTACTATTTGATTCTCTGTGTTTAAAGTAATAATACCTTTCTTGAATAGGTCATGAGATGAAAGGATTGCTCCCCAAGTCGAGTTTGCTTCTTTTTTAGTAGCAAAATGGATACAATAAACAAAACTGTACTAATTGATTCTCTGTGTTTAAAGTAATAATACCTTTCTTGAATAGGTTCAAATCCCACACAAGAAGGGACGAGTACAATTTGAGAGCGGATTGTATCTACCTGGTTTCACATAACCTGAACCTCGTGAAAAAGAGTCCAATACTTTTGGTTCGTGCCGACCATTTGATGAAGACAGTTCACTTCATTGTGCAGCCAGATCTGTCTGGAAAAGAAGGGAAAGTTAAGTCGAGTCAAGTCAAGTCAGGTTCGACAGAACGGAAATCCGCCTACAAACTTGCACGAAAGGACAGCGAGAAGCGTCGTACTGGACTTCCACGTTCGATTGAGTACGCGGACTGGTTAACGGAATGATAGCGGCGTAGAGCGTAGCAGGCACGACGGACGTTCCCGCGCACGACCGATGTTGGAACAAGCGGGGAACCCGCCGGAGGGACGGCAGCAAATACGGCGGGAGTTCCCCGTACTGGAACAGGTGGGTGATGTAAATTTGCGGACGAATGGCAACGCGGCACCTGCCGGATGGAAAAAGTCTGCAAGCCCTGAGTACCTAGCACCTGCTGCAGACGGAGAGGAGCCCCGGGGAGCGGCGTTCGAATGGGAACGAACGACATTCCTCCAACTTGCCGTGTCTGCTTGTTTCGCCGATTCGTGCGGCCGCGCCCTCACAATCCACTTTTCGGACGGGATACGTGACGGATCGGGCTAGGCTCCGCTATTTCTGGCGGCGGGAGCTCCTCGGACTACAGTGCGTTACATGCTACGAACCTGGAACTGGCGCCTCGCGTTCTTCGGAGCCGGCTGGGGACGTCTAGCGAGTCTAGCGGCGGTAGCGCGGCTGCTAATGTGACGGCTGCGCCGGTGGATGGATGAATGGATGGATGGATGACGTGACCGGCTCGTTCCGCATGCGGATAGAGCAGAACTTCGAGATCGATGGAGTGGGCACATGATTTACGTGGTACGCTGTACTACGCACAGTACAGGGTGTAGCTCCCGGGCTGCTTGCTGAGCTTGCAATGGCTCTGTACCCCGCTCACGACGTCGAACGTGGTCGGGTCGGCGTGGAAGTCAGAAGGCGAACTCGAGGGCCTCGAGGTCGCACCTACTTCGGCCAATCGTCGGCCATCTGGCCAAGGCCTTCCGACCACGATATGGCGGAATCCTCCTCGCGGACGACGACGAGGCCGAGAAGACGACACAGTCTCGTGTACGATGGGATATACGTACCCTGCTTTCACGCGACGGAATCGTCGCCAAGTTTGGGGCGGTGGATAGATCTCTGGACCCGCCCCCGTGAGAATCCGTGGGTACGCTGTTTCCGCAGTCAGGGCGGGCCGCGGGGAAGTGGTAGATCGGGGGAGGATGAATTCCGTTGTACGTGGTGAAGTTACGCGAACGTAGTGAAACTGGGATCACGTGGTGGCTGCTGCAGTTGCGGCAATGGAGTTCCATTCATTCATTCATTGCAGCGGGCGCGCTGACAAAAGCGTCCGACAGAAGAGCTCACGGATTTCGTCGTCTTGTTGCTCGCGAGCGGCAGCGGCAGCGTTTAGAAGAGAGGGAGGGAGGGAGGCCGGTCGCCAGCCTCGCGGCCTGCTTCTGACACAGCTGGGCTGCGGAGGGCGCAGGGCGGCAGAGGCGCGCGGTTGGTCGGTGGTAGGGCTCCAGAGCTGCGAGTTCTTGGTTGTGAACAGCGCCGATGTCCCGTCGTCGTCGTGGTGGTGGTGGTGTTTGCTCGCGCGCTGACACCAGCGGCCAGAATCAGGCAGACAGTTTCAGGTGCGTCTTCAAAAGGTCTTTGAAGCTCCTTTCCTCCTGCTGTGTGCTTTGCTTTGATGTCCCTTTTCTGTGCCCTCGCTCTGTGCTTGACCGGCCAGCTACTGCAACATGCTCGAGGACACTTGTGTCGAGTTGTCGCATTCGTCCGATTTGTTGCTTTGCACAGGGCGCGATCGCTCCATGTCCGTCCAAGGGTTTCTGGCTCTTTTTGTATGCTTGCTTTCCCATAGCAGCCTTGTCTTGTCGTGATGGATACACTCTCAACGAGTTACACCGAGTTTAGTTACTTGTGACACATTGCTCGTCCGATGCTCGAGAATCGGTGTCGTGACTGCCAGTTCCAGCTATTTTTACTGGCCTCTGGTCTCGAACTCTTGGTAGGGGCTCCTCGTCTGCTGCTTTGCAACTATTTTCCTTTCACTTCAGATTCTCGAGCTGGTAAATATAGAACAGTCTTTTGTGCCCTTCCTACGATTCGTTCATGGATTTTCTTCGTTTTTGTATCCCCTGTAGTCCGATCTTTTCTCATTGGTCTCCGTGAGCCCGTCGGATGGCGTCATCATCGGATTAAAGAGCATTAAATACACAGAAAGAAGATGCACATTCTTGTGCACTGCTTCCCTCCTTACCAACTTCTACAATGAATGTTGATGGGCATGCAAATGCAACAGGCCCTTTGCTACACAACCTCCTCTTCGTTCCGCTGCGTATACAATTCGTCAAATCTGCGATTGGCAATTCCATTATTTGAGAGCAGCCAGCAGCCCTGCCGCGTACGTAAACCCAGCCACTTTCCTGCATTCTGTTCTGACAGACGGAATCATCACGAAATTGCTGTTCGTGTCGTCTTGGGCACTTTGCATTCAATGCATGACCCCAACAAGATACTTGGAGATGCACTCGGCAGCTGGTCTCTAGTCACCACCCGAATTGTGGGTAATGCGGAAATATAGCTTACACCTACCATTCTTGATTCCTCTTAACAATTTAAGCAATCAATGAGTTGTATATCCTCCGAAACGAACGAAGTGGTCGGTTGGCCGAGGACACCTTCGTCTCTCCTTTCTACCGACTATACAAGCGACTTTCCGCAGCTCAGCACTTCTCTCGGAGTCATGATAGCATTGGGAATCTACGTTGACACTTGGTTGATGTTTTCTATAAAGGTATGCAATCGTGACTTGACATGAGATGTCCTAACGATGGGGTACGGAGTGATACGGGAGAGACTTCCCTCACAAAGATGATTTCAGTGGGAAGCTACGTCACCCTTTCATCATGATTTCTCAGAAGGTGTGCAAGGGTGACTTGACCTTGCAGACAGTTTCATAATAGTTTTTGAGACAATGTTAAGTTACATAATATGGTGAATGGTAAAAAGGTGAACATAAATTCATTAGAATCCATGAATACGTAGATTGATTATCATGGAGAATCAAACAAACGTAAATCAAAATGTGTATTAATCTTGTAAATCTCAATCCATAAATGGATACATAAATAATAATTAGTATAATGTTAAAAAGAAATATAGGTATATGTATTAATTTTTAATATTTCCTAACGAAATACTTAAAAAAATATAAACATATCATATTTTTTACTTCTAATAGAGATGATTTCTCTCATAAGTTTTTTCGTGTTATATGTAAGTACATCTCATATGGACAAACATAGAGTACACTTATAACTCTATATGAGGCAGAATACAACACTACATTGCACTCTCTTGATCCACTTTCTCGATGACATCGTATTCTCACCACTCTTATTTTTATGAATACGCCATGAGGTAAACAGTTTTTCCTGTCACTAGGAGTCGTTTACAGTTTTCCATCCGTTATGCGTATGATTCAACCATGTATGATAAATTTTGTATCTTAACACATACCTCTCCTACAACAATGATATTATGACATTATCTGTTCTTATAATTTTATTTCTTATATACATTCTTTCACATACACACCAAGATCTACCAAGGATTCACATGACTGGTTCACTACGAGAAAAAAAACAGATAAGGTTTTGGACAAAGATAATGATAAAATCCCATATAATTAAATTTGTAATCTGTGATCTGTAAAATCACAAATAAAAAATAAATGTCTTGCAGCGATATTGAGAGAAAGAGCCACATGTATTTTGGCTAATAAAAGTATAAGTATAATGTTACATATATTGTGGTTATTATGTATTTTTCGGATCTGAAAAGGTTGATTCCTTTTTATTTTTGAATGTGGTATCGATAAATTTGACAAGGTCACAATTTCCAAACATTTTGTTATGTATTTTTGTTTCACTCTCATTTCTAATATGAAGAAGGTACATTGCATTTTAAATGAAGTGCATCATTGATTTTTAGGGAGACTAGTTGGTGCAACATATAAAAGGTCTGCATATAAAATGTTGTTTTGTTGGATTCCAATGTAGTTGATAGATCACTTGACTTGTATAGTTGGAAAAATCCATATTCAATAAGACATATTTCTTGTTTTGATGGAAAATATGCTGATGGCACCTAGACTCATAAAGCTTCTTTGGTTTCATAGTGACTTGATGAGTTCATCTCATACTTTAGGCTAGACTGCTTGACAAGAGAACATGCACAAATTTGCAAACCATTCTTATCCGTGACTTGAAAGCTATGCCTATTGTTTTTGTCAAACGTTTTTCTAATGTTGTTTAAAGGGACTGCGAGGAATACAGCAGAAAGGATGGGGTGATTCTTTCGAAGACCTCATGTTCTTCCAAGTTTGTTGACTTCTTCTATCACTGGTCAAGATCACGTCCTAATTGGGACATATTTGTTACCAGTTTGAAATCATATCGCGTGGTTTTTATTTTTTGGCCCATTTTGCTCAATCGTTAGAAATTTTGTCTGGCTGACGTAATCTGAGATGACATTTCAGCTGAAAGGTCTCAAAATCTCCTCTAACAACTAACATCCAACACTCGCGACTCTTGCTTGCACACAAAGAACAGAGGCCAGGAGATAAATATATCAGCCTCCTCTATAAATAAGGCTTCAAACCCTTGGTCCTTAGCTGGTTAGTGGAACGAATTTGTCTCGAGTGTGTCTAAAAAACTGTGATTAGTGTACGACAAGCCTGTCCAGAGGTTCTGTACGGTTTTGAGACATGTTTAAACCTCGAGCTTTCGGAGGCTCGGCGTTTGCCGGATTGCTCTGCTTAGTCCGAAGGCTCAAATCCAGGACAGTATTTATTTCGAGAACAGACGCCGAGGATATCGTAGTCGATCTAGATCAGTGCGCCGAAATGTCCAAGTTGTATTGTTTTCATCGTCTTCGGATGTCGCGCGAGGTTCTCGCTTTGTTACAAATTTCGGCAAAGCTATCCTAAGTCTTGGGACTGCTGTTTGTTTCACTACCGAACACTTGAATAGCTGAAGCCAGTGAGTACGTCATGCGTGCTTTTCTTAATGCCCAGATTTATACGGAGATCCTCGCTTGCAGACAGTTCTGCGCTATTTAGAGTGGAGTTGGATATATAGGAGCAGAGATGGAACCCAAGTGTCCGAACTCATGCCACCAAAAGCCTTCTTTGTAGGCCGCAAACAGCTTTGAATCCTGAATTGCATTGCAAAGCTTGCCTTGTTGACTTTGTTAAACTAAAACATTCGATTCTTTCCGTCTAAATGTAGAATCAGATGCGCTGCTTGCAATTTGCATCTCCATTATTTTCGATCCGCCTTTGTTGTATGCCAGTTGACCGGAAGGGTATATCGGAGAGGTCTCATCGTCACAAGTCGTCAGGACATGCATTTTTAACTATCCATGACCAAAAGGATGGAATTTGTTTCGGAGGAAGTCGGTTGTGTTGGACGCGTGCCCAGGAGTTGACGTCCAATTTCGCTACAAGCTCAAGGATTCGAAGGAGAATTCCTGTCACCGCAAGTTGTCCTCCATGCTTCATTCTTATCAAGAAAGAAAACGCCGAATATCGAACTCAAAACGCCGAAAAATTCCTCCATCAAACGCGCTGAAGTTGGGCTCTTAGCAATCTGGATAACGCCCACCCTTATCATTGCATCCTCGACCCATTCTCTCTCTATTTCCTTGCCAATTTTCCCGTGAACGATCCTCTTATGACAGAATTTAGGGTTCTTGTTTGTCACAGTTCACTAAAAACGCATTGTGCTTCGTTCACGTTCAAAACGTGTCCTCATCTTTACAGGAGCATCGTATAGCTTGACGTTTTTGCTGTACCATTCGTTCTCGAAGTCGTCTTAGAGTCATTAAGTGATAAGTACTGGCTTTTTTGTTTAGCTTAATTATCGAAGTCTAAACCACACGGTGCAGTCGCAATCTATGTTTTTGTGGGCATATTTCAGGAAGAGAGAGTAACGCTGGCTGTTTTGTACTTCATGAACATCCCCTACTTCCAGATCTCTTCCTATCCGGTTGGGTGACAAGTTGGGGTTGTTCTGGATCATGAAGCTATTGAGCGCCGATTCCAGTTGGATTCAGATGCTGTAATCAGGTAGTAACAGTTTTTTTTTAATTTCATGTCTATGATAGTCACCTGTTTGACATTCGGAGTGGTCTACGAGCACTTTCCCCTCGACGCTCACATATATACCGCTTCAAGGGCATTGTTGGAGAAAGTCGCTAGGTCATAAATGTCCGCTCCGAAACCGGTGACCTACCGTTTATTAGATCTCCACGATTTTTGGCACAGGGAGTAGGGTTGGTATATGATACACTGTGTTGGAATCCCCAATTAAATTTTTCGAATATCTTGGCTGCTCGAAGATATCTGTTGATGTGAAGAGTGTTGTTAAGGCTTCGCACCAACAAAAGAACCTCGTGATTAGATCCCTGAAAATGTTGAACGTGCAGACATTTTGTCGTCAATGAATATGGCGCTTTGATATACGAGCTTCATAGAGTCATCGTGATGCAAGGCACAGCTTTTGCCAGTTTCCAGCGTGAACGAAATTTAAAATGTGAGGCCAACGAAACGGGGTCAACAGAAAAAGTCCTCGCGAGGAGGAAGCCAAGTGCATCGGTCAAGTGAGGCTCCTGTAAGAGACAGACAACACACAAATAAAATCTTCCCATCTCCAGAGAAATCAAACTACGAAGCTTGCTCCTGGTCGACGCTCTGGACAATCAATCCTCTTGATCGACTGAGTTATTCCATCATGCACAATCCTTCTGTCGCTCACAACGACTGGAAAGAAGTGAGCATGTGATTTCAAGGTGCTTAATAAGTGCAGCGTCAATATACGTGTAAGGCAATTTTCTTCATGAATTCTCCATGAACATTACAATAAGGAAAGGGTTTTAGCAGATAGTTAAATATGTTCAAATCCTTTCCTCTTTGTAATATTTTTCCACTGGAGTGTACAAGATGGCGAATGAAAGACTCTGGTACAGTCCAGACTAACACAAGTCCAATATTTGTCTTTTTACTCTGTACGAGATTTTTACTAACTCAAGCCCTGTATGTATTTAGCTGATATTTTTTAGCTTGTCCGCGAGGGCTGTGGACCTCATGAGTAAGTATTTCCATTAGCAATACGAGTAGATTTGAAAGCCCAAGGGGAGTCAATGTGGGCGTGTCCTTACCTGGTACCTTCTGTTCTGATTGGGTCTATTTCACGTATGTATGGCCAGACGCACTTCCTACAACCGCCCTGTCACCTACGTCTTTATATGTCATAATTCCTCACTCGAAGGGATGCCGAAATCACAGATTTGAGACAATCGCCACGAGCTAGTTTGTGTGAGACACAACCAGCCCTGTCATCTAAATCTTGGAATTCCCCTTGGAAATTGGGAGGAGGAAATGCTCACAGATTAGACCAAGGAAGTTCAGTTCGTAAACAGGTGAGAGACGAAATTTCCAGAGTTGTGTCTGCTTGAAGCTCACAGTACGTCTCATGCAGATATGAACACTTTACAGTCTGGATGGGAGCTCTCATTGGCACACTCATGACCCAGCATCCATTTCTTTTCACGCACCTGGCATCTATTATGATTCTGCTAGAATTTCCTGAAATTCTAGCATCCGGTGTGCGAATGAGTACTTCTTTCGAGGACGCTCCACAGAGTAGTCCCATTCTAGATACAACGACTCCACTGGCGTATGCTGGGGAGTCCTATATTTGTGATAAACGAACTCATCACATCACACAGTAGCAACAGCTAAGCTAATCTGGAACTTTCTGACCTTGATTTCACCGTAATTCTGGAACCTGACTGGTCCGAACCCATAGATTCCCTTCACTGGGCTGACCTATTCCAGCTAACCCTCAGCTGCCTCTTCTGGTCTCTTCCTTGTATGCAAGGATTCTACATCAGGGGGGAAAAATTGATTGAATGCACTAGTGGATCGTCACCCACAAGATGCGAATCGAAGCTGGTAGATGTCATCGATTTATGTATTGACCTTCTTTATCTAGATCGAACATCGCAGAAGTGATCTCTTCTCAAGTCCACAACTGGGTGGCCGAACTAGGACTCATAGGTCAAGCAGCTGCTGTATATTAATCGGGCTCACATCTTCCTTAGGCCCATACATCACCCGGTGCGCAAGTTGACTGTTAAATGCTTCTGTCGGGTGGAAGGCGTCCCAGAAAATGTATTCTGAACGGTTTGAACACAAATTTCCGAAGGGATTGCAAATAATAAGTCCATTAAATGGTCCCGCGCCACAGCATGCTGAACTCCTGTGCTTGAATCCTTGAATGTCACATCCGACCAACAACGGTTCGTGTTAGTACTCATGCCAACTCTAGGTGCGCCCTGCGGTCGACGACTCAGGTGCACACACGGAGTCACGTACCAGAATCTGGAGCTTATGCTCAAAATGGAAGCTGCCTATTAAAGACAAGCACTGAAGACAGCCCACAATAGTCAGAGGGGATATGAGTCAGTGCATACGCATTCTACTAACTGGCTTGGACTTGGGACCTGCACTAATCTGAGCTTGGGATCGTCCCCTTGATATTCCGGCTTCTGCACTAACCACTGCACTACGGAACATCAAAGGGACGACCCAAATTCAGACATATGATTTCGGTTACGTTACTTTAAGTGTCAATTGGGATTTGTAGTCAACCTATGGAAATAGTTACCAGTCTTTGTTTTGAAAGCAGAGCCATGGCCACATCCAATGTGATAAAAGGTACGTATACTGTGGCAAACCAAAAGCTTCAAATCCAAGCAGCTCAAATGAGTGTCCACGCTTTACTTCCTTCTCTTGACTGGATCAGCTGTATTGCCTAGAACTTGATAGAGATTCTTCTAAGTGCGAATGTTCGAAGGTTGGCAGCAGTGGATTTCTTCATTGGAATTGAAACAGCTGGGTAATGGTGCTTCACTCAAACACACGTTTTGGATTTAAGTTGAGACATCATCGGATTGACAAACTTGCTGAGCAGATCAAAGGCTGTTCTGATCTTCTGGCAAGTGAGCTGCGATATCTCTGTAAGAATGAAGCTGAGATTCTTGGGTGGTGATTCTGTTAAGCTGCAGGAAGACGGATACTATTTGTTAATCAAAAGGTTGTAGCAGACAGATGTCACAAAGGACAAGATCTGTTATATCATCTCTCTCGCTCTGACGCCAACCGTGGACCGGAACAGCTGAATGGACACGATAAAACTTGAATCTGGTCCCGTACAATGTCGGCAGCTGGACAGATTCAAATAAAAAATTCCCCATGGAAGTATAGTTGTTGACACAGGTGTGTAATGACGTACCTGTTTCCCTCAACATGAAGCGCGACGCAACAGATATTTTGGGGGCTCAACACAGCTGAAAAAAGTTGATGAGCCACTAGGCATACATCATCTGACCAGCTTATAAGCTCAAACATCAGTCATTGGAAGCCGATATTTCAATTTTAAATAGTGTTAGCCGCTGGACCCAGTTTTTGAGAACAGTTCTTAGACAAATTGTTATTTGTCTTGAATATAAAGCACTTGTGTTCACATATCCCGGGATGTTGGACGTGGTTCAATAGGTAAACCTTCTACTTCTGACGAATTTCTAAGTACTATAACACTACCCAAAGCAGCTTCAAGAACAGATCCAATGCAAAAACTTCGTCAGGCTGGAGATTGTAGAACATCTGTAGATTCTGCACAAGGCTCCAGCATTTTCGATGAGGTTAACTACACTAGATCCTCTACAATACTACTTCTGATAGACCAAAGATCTACACAAAGGGATCTAGATGAACAGCTCAAAGAGGCTCTCTTGTGAAATAGATTGCAGAAACTAGGAACTTACTTCGGGACGAACCTACTAGACTTAGGATATGTACCCTTCATCCAGTAAGTCTCCGAGTCAGAACTTTGCTGTAGGTCCACTACTGTCCACGAGTTTGCTGGAGAATATTGCTCTGTTCTGGCAAGCTGATATGATGATTATTGTTGCTTTCAAAGGACGTGCTGCCAATACCAGCAATCCGTCGATAGGGAAAGAGTAATTGGCATGTGGCGAGGGCTCGGAGCGCAATTAGTACTTGAGATGCGCACTGTTGTGGAGAAACATTGGTCATGACTTCATATGTTTCATATGAACCAGGCCAAAAAATATAAAGCTGAAACTGGTCAATGGTCAAGAAAGGAAAGGTTCCTGCCTAGCGATATAACTTTGCAGGCTCCTGACACTTGGGCTCTCACCTATGGAAGGGGTATACAGTGTTCTCTTCTGGTGGAGCGAGTGATCATGGAGAATACTGAAGTATAAAGAGCTAGTGTTAACGAACTCAGTCGATGGGCTCATTATCGTCGTCCACCTGCCTCAGTAACATGCCGTCGACAAACTGCAAGATAAGTTAGTGGAAGAAGATGCATTCAGGCAAGACACATGTTTTCACAACGGCCAAATGTTTCGAACTAACTTCCCTATTTCTATCCTTTTCTTCGTAAAGAAGAGGAAAACATTTAAAGGTGGGTCATTAGGCTTTATGAACTAGGCTTTGTGCTCTTCAAAAGTAATTAGTATGTTCTATGCTATAAAAAGACTGGATCTATTCATCTGCTCCATGCTTTGCACATAGTATACGTCCAGAGTAGATGGTCAGAGCTGATGCTTCATCGTTAGATATATTTTTTGGACACATGTTTCCTTGCCAAAGTAAGGGCTTACTCGCCCCAACAATGACTGGTGGACAGAGTTGAAGGTTCCAAGCACAAAGTGTGCTTGAAGTGCAGGTTTGAACTTATTTGGGCTTTGAAAAAAATACCATTCCGTCTGACTCACTACTCACTGACCCAAAACTTCTATGACTCAAATTTTCTACATTATTTGTTTGGCTCAAACTCGGAGCGCGTACAGTGCAAGTCTGGGTGGCCAAAGGGGTCCAAATTCCGAGGAAGGGAATGGAATGCTCGGGTTGAGTACCAAAAATCTAGGCCTGTTTGGGTGGGCCCGTCTGTTGAAGTAAATCCTCAACAGCCCCGCTGGGCCTTTATCGTTGGTCCTGAAGCTGGACATGCAGAGTGTTCGGAACAAAGCTCGCAGGAAGCATGATCAGTCCCTGACCCAACCCAACCCAGCCTAACCTAATACTTGTCCTTGGACTTTGCCAATAGATCTGTGGACTTGCTGATCATGCGTGTTGTCGTGTCGTCAAGATATCTCATATTGTATCTGTATATGATTCTCTATCGCTGTGTTTGTGTGTGTCTCTGTAATAGCTTTGGCCTGGATGTTTGTGCAGATATATCAGTATCGACCCCAAGTTGGTAAGTGTCTACAACAATCGACACTGTAGGGAGGCATCTGCAGTCTCGACTCTCGTCGTCATAACCGGTGGAAGCCACAGACCTACTAATGCAGTACCCCAAGAGTCAACGACATCTTCTCGCAATAGGTTCAGACTCTGATTTTTCACCACTCCCAAAGCTCTTGCAAATCGCTATCTAGGGCATTGATTAACGTCTATCCTCATCTCACATCATGTTCCAATAGAGCATTTCATGAGGGACAAGACTCGCTCTTACCTCCAAGTCCCGGACTTTTAATATGATCCATGACAACGTGGTATACGTCCATGTAAAGGAAGTGAGCATCAGGTAGTTGTTTCCTCAATCCTTGCAGCATATTCTTCAGTCCTGCATTGTAACTGAAAGCGATCCTATTGGTGTGTGTCACACAGCTCCCATTTCTGCTCCAGAGGGCTAGTTGTTGTGGGATGCAACCAATAGGCCCTAAATTCGACACAACTATTTTTCTTGCCCCCGCATCATGGAGTGCCTGCAACGAGATCAAAGACAACCTTCACATCCAGCTTGCGTATTCATTTGAATTGGGGTGAACATCAACTCTTGGAATCATGTCTGTGCTTACCCTAGAAGATGAAGACTTCAAGGTATGGACTCAGAAATTGAAGCTTGACATACATAGTTTCTGCATGGGAGAGATTGATTCGCTACCTGGAGGTCGTGACGGAAAGTTCCTATCAGTAGATTCTGGTATTCTACTAACCCATACTTCTTTATACGGGGCGAGAGTGATGGTGGGAGCATATAGTTGTTGATGTAGTCGTTTGATCCCACGTTGATTAGAAATAGGGCCTTGCTCACCAGATCATTGGTTCCATTCACTCCCAATCTTCCAGAAGTCAAGTTTTGACGCACTGTCAAAAACGCTGATAGTTGTTTCTGAAAAACCAAGCGTTCATTCTGCAATATTCCACACGTACAGTAGATACGGTACTCAGCATATAACGTAAGATTCTTTCCAGTCTACGTGAGCAGTAGGTGATGAAAGTTGAGGTAAGTTTGGAGAATGGCACAGGAATTCATCTAACAGAAACTCTTGCTCAACACCAGCAAAGACATGCCTATAAATTTTGTTGAACTCACGAATAAGTATCCGGTGTCAAGAAGAATCCCAGCTCCAGCAGAAGCAAAGTTAACTCCACGCTCCCAATCTTGAAGAGTGGCATTTGGATACAGGTACGGGGATACGGATTCTGCACCCATAAATTCACCTACAAGTTCCGACCCAAACGTTTTTCTGGTCAAGCTTGATAAATTGATACCTTCGTGACAAACGTGATAGTTCTAGTTACGAACTAGCTATCGACGTCCCCAATGTCCAACAGGGTGACAAGGGTGCAAATCCAGGTGGTGGTGTGCTTCGGGGAGAAATATTCAGTCAGCTGCTCGAGCGTTCAGTCTAGTCATTTTGTTTGGAAGAAGGTATATAAGGACTAAATTTGTAGTTAAGTGCCAGTTAGAATTAAGGAATGCCATTAAGATGCACCCATAATCAGAGTCTAACAACTAGCTCTCAGGGTACGAACAAACTCTTGTACAAAAGTCGTAAGGTCAAAAAACTTTCTAATTTTATTTAAAAAGTAAAAATGTCATAGTAAACGAAAAGCTTTAGATGGACATCAAAGCGGAGTAGTCCTGTCTATGCAGGGTGTTCGTTGTTGGGGGTTGGGAGGGAGAGGATTGCTTACTTATGAAGTCGGGGACAAGTCGACCATTGCAATAGCGACCAGTTGCGATGTGGCCAGGAAAATCGATGCCATAGGGCTTGTAGTTGGCTTTGGTAAGTGATTTTAAGTAGTTATTGTTGCCATAGTCCACTAGAGAGTCCCCAAAGACGAACATCGCAGGCGGTGGTTTTCGCTGCGTTGCTACCCCAGCAGCTCCCATCCACTTGGCTGTCATTACAACAGACATCAGCGTCCACAATCTAAGGCTCCTTGCCAAGTCGATTCTTTTGTCGAAATTCTTCATCTCTTCCCTTTCTGTCACAGTTCCGTATCAGATACTTACAATTAAGTGAAAGTAGTCAATAACAGAGGAACCTGGCCTGGAGGTAATTGAGCATTGACGATATGCTGATGCTTTTCTAAACTCTAGCCAACTGAACACATACATGTCAAAAGCTGAGCACCGGGCATGCAGGCCGGCAGCTATTCGGAACCTGGATGTATAGGCTGTTGTGGACAGTCGAAGAAGATGAACTTGCCGGATGAACAGCAGACAAGCCAGGACATGATGTCAGTATTTTCAAGAGTTCAGATACTACAGCACTTTCAAAGCTGAATCTGTACGCAGCAGCAGCAGTGGGTTGAAGATGTTTTGATACCTTGAGAATGAAATTAGTGAGCAGCGTGACCGGCAATCATGAATGAACGAACTTGCTGTGTTCTTTTGTTGTACACGGCAGCAGCTGGTAATCTCAAAGATCGAGTGCTGCTTTGCTTTATATAAGTTGTTGTTGCTACCCTTGATTCTACCGTTACATCACCAACCTTCTTCATGAACAAACGTTCACATGACAGTACTGCATTGATTCTGGGCCAATGTGTCCTTGTTACCCCCAGGCAGTGAGTGTGCAACGTTCGGAATGGACTTCATGAATAACTGCAGTACCTCACTCAAACCTATTCATCTGATCGGCAATTCGTCTCGTGTTCCGTCAGTTGTTTTCATTTTTCAAAAGTATGCGGTCAGATTCAGTGCAACGCCACAAGGGCATGTCTCCCATTCGCATACCGCTTGTACCCTAGACCTCAGACCTGTGATATTTGCCTACTCTCCTCTGTACTGAACAAACATGACGATGGCTTCACTGGCTATATATTTCGCACTCCTTTACCTTCGATTCGTTAGATTATGTACCATCTAATGTTCACTGCTGGTAACCTCATTACTCGGTCCAGTACTCTTCCAGGGGAGTTAATTGAAGGTCCGTTTCCGTCTGCGATCTCAATCCATTTTGAAATTCTGTCAGCTCTGTCGGAAGAGACATAGCTCTCTTTTGCCTTAGCCACTCCCTCGATAGTTTCACTAGTTCGCTGCTGAGCATGTAGGTACGGTTGACATGTGGAGCAGTGCTGCGGACTTTTTCTTGTTACAGAACAGGTTTGGCGACTCCTCCGAACTCTGGTCTTCTCAGGCATGTGGTTGGTGCCTTCTACTGCATTGCCTTCAAACGTGGGAATCATTTCCTACCTAGCGGCATTTGTAGAAAATCGATCTAGATTGAGCTGACTAGCTTTTCTTGGGTCAGAGATTGCTCTCCTTCACAGTCCACCGTTAACGGAAACAATGGGAATGTTAAACGGAGGTTTGGGACGCTTAAAGAGTAGACCCTTTCTTTCGGTGGGTGACTTGGTAAGTGATCTGAAAGTGTCGATAAACAATTTTTCGTTTGCTCCATCTTCGATCTGACAAATTGAATATCTGTTTCCCGTAGCACAATACTTGTCGTGATATGAGGCGCATTTCTTTAGAGAACAATCGGAGTAACCATTGTCACGACTCCCAGATCACCGACTACGTCCAACAGCACGCTCGGCGAGCTGATTCAGAGGTTCTGGACATTGACAGTCAATGTTCATTATCACTGTCTCGTAGAGGCGCGAAACACTGACGGTCAACCGATGCACAACTCTATGAAGTCCCCGGCTTCGTCCTTCAAGTTCAGATCTCTGGAAGTTCATTGTCACACCCTATTTTGGATTTATCAAAAGGGAGAGCGAGAATCACGTCCCATAGTCTCCGTGGTCACTGCCATTACCTTGAGTGGGAGGCTGGGATTACGAAAGGAACCTCCGCTCTCCCTCTCCGCCAGAGAGGACGGGGAAGCAGGAACTCGAGTGGACCTGCATTGCCATACAATTCCACTGTGGTCTTGCACGATACTTCCCCTCCGACCTTCGTTTGTCCATACTTGTGGCCCGACAATGTGACCGGACAGGACGAGACGGGAGTCGTCCTGACGCGATCTGCTCGGTCCTCGTCCATGTCTGTGGCCCGGTGTTTCGTGAAGTAGGTGGTGTGCCGTCTGTCGACTATTCGTTCTCCTCTAGTGAGAACTGCCTTGTCCGGGCAGTGGAGTTCGTTCGCATTCCATCTTCATTCGAAGCAGTGAGACGAGAGGGAGGGAATCTGAACAAACTCCAAAGCTCGGACATGGCATTTCTCTCACTCATACGACCTCACTCGCCGATTCAGGTACGATAGCCTCACACTCACAGTTGATTTTAACGCTGCTCCGAAATCGGTGACGGTCGTTCTCAGAATACAATTGACCTAGGTAGAGAAGGAGAACGACGCGGGCCTTCATATCCGGAAACGACCGACCGACCAAGCTTGCTGCAAATCTATGAGAGGAGAACTTACGATTTTATTTAGCTTTCTGGTATGAAGAGGGTTTCATGAATGACGTCAATAACAAGTCACCACCCAACAATAGTACAGACGCCTTTTGCCCCATGTTCAAAGATCGTCTTAAAACTAATTACTAAAAGTACACTGGAATGGTATTTTGCGAACATCTGTTATCATCTAGATGTCATTTAACACTGCCTGTGAGTGCATACGGCTAGCCTCGGAACTGATGTGTGCTTCTCTCGCTCGAAGGTGTGAAGAGGAAATTAAAACATTCGTATCTAGACTGTTCGTTCGTTGTGGCAAAATTTGGCTTATCCTACAACCGGCTGCTCTCAAACTGTGATGTATTTCACCATAGCCTCTCGAATTTTTTTCATGTACTCGGCCATCTGGTCCTGATTTTCGGAGGTGAAACGGAAGTAGGAAGTCAGTATTATGATGGAAAGAGTCCCTGTCGGTTGGAGTATAGGAGTCAACTATCCTGCAGCACTTGGAGCCCTGGAGAGAAAATCCCTATTGCACACTAACGTGAAAGCTCAACATGACCTGAATTCAGTAAACGATTGTTTGTCTGTGTGTAGGTACCTGGCCGGCGTAAGAAGCAGCAGCAATGTTCTCGTCCAAGAGAACGAGAAGACCCTTATTCACTTTGTTCTCTCCAGCCAACTCCAACAGCTGTGTCATGCATGGATCAATTCGTCATACGAACCCAACAAAATGGATCTCGCCACTTTGGACGAAGGTGCACAATGTCAACAACAAGACTCAAGTTTGTCATGGATTCATGGAATTAGAAGAACACATGACCGTACTCACAGTGGCTTTTTTGTCCTTCGACGTGAGGATTTTCACCAAATTCTCCTTCGCATGGCTAATGTTGGCGGTTAGCTTGTCATGGGCAACTGCACACACCCTCAAGTTAGTAGTTATCAAAAACACAATCGTAAAATCCTTTCCAACTACAAATAGCACAAATAGAAGCCAGCAACGGTCGTTACACTTAGTGGCAATCAGTGCAACAACGATCTAAGCAGTCCAGTGCATCCCACTCCATTTTCAGTCCGTAGGATCTGAAGCTCTCACCTACGCCTTCTTCCAGGGTCTTCTGTAGCGTTAGCAGCGTCTCCAATCTAAGTTCCTTCTCCTGAAAAGCAGCCGAAATTCTCTCGTTATCAATAGATTAACATTTAGCAAAACTCAGAGAGAGAGAGAGAGAGAGAGAGAGAGAGAGATCTAACCGGTGTCATTTTGTCCAGAGCTAACCGGATGGTTCCAATCTCAGAAACCAAGAATCTGCGAAAGTCGTCCGTGAGCCTACACAAACCACCAACATATGCAGACATGTGCACCAAAATATGAGCAACGCGATCACAGCAACTCTCAACTGGGTATGAAGAGTGAAGCTGCAGTGGCAGTGGAGCTGGAATCTTGTGTACAGTACAAGTTACAAAGAGGACAAAACGAAAGTGGTGGGAAAGTACATTAATTTACATTACGACAATGAGTGGCTTCTCCCGGATCTAGGGGCAGAGTGTGTAGAGTACTACTCACAAGGGCCTGCAGCGACTGATCTCGAATTGCATATCAACAGGGTCCGTCATGAGGAAGTATTCAATCAGGCCGGAATGTGTCGATGGTTGCTCACGAGCCTGCAAAAGGATGAAACCAATTTCATCAGTCAGTCAGTCAGTCGCCTCATCAACTTCAGCTCACTTTTGGCTGCGCCCCGCCGGCACCATGGACAATTACTAAGTTTGAAAATTTCGCGGGTGGTCGGCCACTCAGTCAATTATCAGAAACTGCTGCAGGTGGAAATTTGCAAACAAACGAACCTCACGGGCAGCTTTGCGTTGCTCGGCCTCGAGTTTGAGAGCTTTTTCCATGGCCACCTTTTTGTCCGTCTCATCCTTGAACTTTCTCATCACCAGATTTCTGCTGATGAGCCCCGGTCCTTCAGGTCGGCCGAGAAGGCCCTCCGGGTCCTGTTCGAGACAACATCGAGGCCAGACATTAGCTGGGACATAATCTAAATCAGCTCACACACCAAGTCCATAAACCTCAAGATAGCACTCTCAAACCTCTATTGCCTCACCATCAGCACCACCAACATGACGCATAAAGACCAGGCCTTCCTCCAGAATCTACTCTCACGATTCGAACAAGAATTCGGCAGAGCTTGGCTTGACAAAATTGTGCGGATTGCAATTTCCAAACGAAACTTGATTTCAGCGATGAAACTCGAGAGGCATGACACAAAGCGTGAGAGTGCGTGCGTGCGTGCATCAGGAGATGGAATCGGTCGGTTTATTTGGTTCGCTGGAATTGTAAGTGCATCAACTTTTGAACGAGAGTCGAGAGCATTGACCAGAAGAGAACAGGGGACGAAGAAATCTGAATTGCAGCCACGAATGCGGGGCGACGATTGAATGTCCTTGAGGTGCGAGCCATTCATTCATTAGAGCAAATTCCAATCAACCGTGCGGACGACGAGACGAGAGACGCACCCAATTGACGTCCAAACAGCGGCAAGAGCCGGGGCGGGACGAAGCGGGAGCAGTGCGCAATCTGTCGCTCGTCCTCATGGATATCCGCACAGCTTCGCCATTCATCTGCTTGGTACTAAGGGCGCTGGCGCTGCGCAACACCGCGCTGCTCGAGGCACTGGCGCACATCCGCGCGACCTCCATAGCTCCGCTCCTCTCCTCTCTGCTCTGAGCTGCGCTGCTCTGAGTTGTTCTGAGTTGCGCTGCGAGAGGCGGTGGTCCAATTTTGCAATTGAGCAATCGAGCAATTGTCGTCAATGGTCGTCTATCCGCTGGAGTTGGAGAGTGTGCCGCGAGCTCGGAGCTCGGAGCTGGACGCTTTCCGAATTGACTGGTGCACGACGACGGAGCTCGACCCGCTTCTGGATAACGAATTCTCGTCGGTGCCATCTTCGCGACCATTCTTCACTTTCCTGTTTCGCGAAATTATCATGAGCCTATTTTTCCTGGCCTATAATATCCAGACACCACTGAATAATCCCGTTTTGTGATGAGAAAATACTAATATTGCTTCTAGATTGTTTTTATTTGACTATTGTGTCCATGGTGAATATGGTTAAGGAGGAGAATATTAAAAAGAATATTGTGCAACAAAATCCTAGAACGTTGGGAACCCGGTCTCCCTTCCTTGGTTCGGCTTGATAGGGTCCCATATATTTTTATATTCATGTGGTATGTTCTCGCTCCAAAATGTCCGTGATGTAAAAAGCCAGAAGTGAAAGTGTAAACATGTTTGATAAATTTCTCACAAAATAAAATAAAATATCTTTTTGTTTTGTGTTTATAGCCTTATTGCAATTTATTGAAAATTTTAAAAGTGTGACAAAAATTAAAAAACCTTTCTTTTAATGCTGGTTGCTTACTGGATTAATCAACTATAAAGTTATTGGCTAGAGTTTTAGAAAACTTGAACTAATTTTTATTATCCATATCTTGGATTCTTTTTTTCCGAAATCAATGCATTCTTACCATCAGACAGACCTATGTATCAATATCATTATATTCAAAAATAGGTAAAATAACTCATATTTCATATCTTGCGGTAGCTTGATTTGAAATTTTATGTATTTTGTTGGAATATTCTACTCACAAATTCTTATCAATGTAGTCACAGTCTTTTAACATTTTAAATTTCAATTTCAAGAGTTTAACCATAAATTTTGACCTGATTATAATGTCTATTAAACCTTAAGTCAATTTTATACAAACCACATAACAAACTAATAATGCCCAAAAATATCAAGTGTTTAGAATTTATATCTCTCGTTCACATTGATTGCCATACATTTTAAAAATAATTCAAATGAATCGACTTCATCATAAACAATATTGATCCTAAGAGTATACAAAATTTATACTTTTGTCTCTTTAAAATGATCTTATAACTCATGTTCCTCTCAATAAAATTTTAAAAATAATTTATTCAATGATTTTTGAATTTTACAAATCAACCTAGATGAAATTTGTTGTCTAGGAATAAATCTCATGTGATACAATATATGTTTGAGATTATTAAACCTGTATCAAGTTCTCATACAAAAAATCTATAACTCCATCAAACATTATACAAACCATAAACCCTAAAATTTTTACAGTTTCAGAATATTAAAATGTGTAAGTTTGATCATTTTTTGCAAGAAATAAATCATTTGAGAATATTTTTTTTTTAAAATTTCATATTTAACAAATGTGATATATTTAATCAACATAAAAAATCCATACATCATCAAATTACTTCAAAGAAATGCATAAAACATAACTTTGTATTCATAGTGCATTTTGAACCACTCATTGGTGCCTCGCAATCTTTCATTTGTTTCTTCCGACAGATAGTCCAGAGCTCCAAAGAGCTGACCTCCACCAGATTGTTTCAATACATGGATTATCCGATGTTCAAAATAAACTGATTTACCCTTAGCCTGCAGGAAGGTAGAATTTAAAGAGTGATGGGTTGCGTCATTGACAACTTCCCACAGGTCGGACTCAATTGAAATACCAAGTGGTACAAAGACAGTTGACAGTCTCAGTCTCACTCACAAGGACAAGTGAGAACGCATGACACTGAGTTTCTTAGCTTTGACCTTTTTCGAGCAGAGTGACGAACATCCGCCTCTTGATATGCTAATTTGATCACAATCCGAAACACTTCTTCCAGCGAAGAGCGGTTTACGACGACCTTGTAATAGCAATCTCTTCTTCCGGAAGCTTTTGGAAACGTTTAGAAGAAAATTTTAGCAAAACCTTTGAATTGCAAATGATAAATTAATACAGAGTTAAACTTCCCAATAGTGTCAGCTCTTATAAATGACATACTCTCATTAGTGAAGTAAAATTCCAGAACCATTAATTTTTAATTCGTAAATCTGTTCAATAAGAACAATAAGTCACTATTACCAATAATGACAGTTCTAGTGTAATTTCGGAGACAAAATTCCTATCATGCTCACAATACATAGTTATGAGAAGAAAAAATGTGTGTGACATACTTTATTCAAAGTTCTATCTCAACAATATACTCTATCTGGGTTTCAGTAAAATTCTTTGCTATATATTATCATCAATTGTTTCACTCAAATTTACGTAAAACGTTAGCGCCAATGTACATCACTATTGGGAGGTTTAACTCTGTACGTGTAGATCGCAAATTCATAATCATCCGCCGGTGCAGGCGTCCCCCGGAAGCATACTAAATGTCACTCTACAGCTCATGTCGCTTCTTCAGGATAGAGTGCTCAATAGAGGAAAACTTCCCACTTGAATGTGATAGAATTGGTGCCTGCGCCTCCAGCTGCTTTGGTGTTGATGGCATATCCTCTCATCATTCTGAATGTTCCAGTTCCTCCGACGACGGTCCATTCGTTGGACTCTGCTTCGGAAAGCCAGTCGCAGAAGACGACGAGCGTGCCGTTCCATTCCTGTGTTTGCAAAGTAATCAGCTTGTACAGAGCGAAGGTTCTCTCCTCCATGTTGGGCTGGAATGTTCCTGGGGCTCGGCCGATGATGGTCGAAGTGTTGCTCACCCCTTCCCTGACGACCTGCTCTGAGATTCCCAGATTTCCGAATGCGTACGTTGACGTATTGCCCGTGGCCGATGCCGCTAGCAGATCAGTGGCCGGATATCCCGGCTCACTCACAAATTGCTCGTGCAAGTAGAACTCGAGCTGCTTGTGTTCGGTATGCCTCCTTGCGTCTACAACACCTCCATTGAAGCAGATGGCGATAGCAACCAGCAACAGACCCGTGCAGGCCTGGAATTTTACAGCGTTGGGTGCCATCTTCATCACTTTGTCAAAAGAACTCCGATCGAGATATAGCAGTGAAGTGTTGTTCTGCAAATTTGCCAACTGTATTTCGATTCCTCGCACGAACTCGTGAGAAGCGTCTACCACGTCTTGCTTGTAGGTTGGAAAATGGTAGTTCGTATTGGTGACCGAAGACAAGATCAAGTCTCTTTCTTTCTCAACCCACCTCACAGATGATCAGTACAGATTTCGAAGAGCTGTGATGAAAGGACCTGCTGTGAAGCTCTTTATACTTGGCTCGAGATATGGAACTTGCTCCGACGACCTGTGCCCGTCAATGAGTCAAGGCATGGCAGTCCCATGGAGCAGTCCCATGGAGCAGTCCAATGTGACTCGGGCCAAATCTTTGGAGACGCCCTCTTTCCTACGTAGACTCTGTCGAGCTCGACTCCTAGGGACGCTTTCTGGAGTGGCCATTTCTGACCATTGTAATCACGTGGTGGATCTGTGTAGAGAACTGAAGGTCTCACCTTCGACAGAATTCGATCGGGGCCCACGCGTAATTTCACCGGAGCTCATCCAAACTGACCCTCTTTGACACTCCCAGTGGATCTCCGACACTTTAACTGCTTCTAGAATTGCAAATTCACGTTCAGTGACAAGTTTGTCTTCAAGTCTAGACGATTGGACTTCTGCAAACGTACAACTCACCTCTTCTACATAATCAGCTTGTAACTTGCACGTGGAGTCGTCCATTTCCCCAGTTCGTATACTTTCGGTATTCTCAGAGTATCAGGATCGTCTCTGGGCTCGCTGGCAATCTTCACAATGAGGTCATGAGGCGAACATAAGAATCGGAAGCACGATATAGTTATCTCTCTTTCACATGGTCATTTCCTCAAACCAAAATTACTGCCCAGCATCGATGTCGGGTCAAGACATGAGCCTCGGATTTCGTCGACCTTGTTGACCTCGATGACAAGACGGACGTCAATGGGCAGCGAGAGCATGCTGGAGTCCGAACTCGGGTCAAAGTCTTCGGCATGCGCATTAGGGAGAAATCGGTCCTCTGCATCGCATGGCTGCGATAGATTTTGTTCGAGGTTCCTTGTACGATGATGCACCGTACCCGCTGATTAGTTTTCACAATGAGAAATTGGGGAACGTGAGCAGGAAATCGTTCACTTGACAACGTGAAGCAGAAGGTAGACTGTAAAGACCCGAAACAGCTGCGAAGGTGGTACTTTTTAATGGCTGTCAAGATACTTGTCGATGGATCTTACGTTGTGAGTTCCATTAGTGGGCAAAGGGAAGGTACCCACGTCGATACAAATGTGGGACAAATGAAAGGAGGCTGCCTTTTCTGTTGGACACGTTTCTTTCTTTTTCCTTTTCGATGATCACTGGCAGTCCTCACTAAGGCTTTGGTAGTTTACTGTGTTCAATAAACCGGTAAGGAGAAACGAAATTGGACAAATCGTGGACAAGTGGACGAAAAGAGATGTGAACAAGATGATGATGAGAAGAAATGTAAGACTGTGATCATCTTAGTACTTTGACATACTCTAAACATGGAGATATAACATGGAACCCCTTTTTTAGCATCTACATCTCTTGAGTCTTCAACAAAACAAATTTAGCATATCTTCTTTCGAATTACAATGTACAACATCATATCTGAAGGTTAACGCCAAGACCCTACATTTTTTTACAATAGGTTAGCATCTCTCGCTTCGCTCAGTTTAACTTCTCAATATTCCATTTTGTGTCTTCCACATCACTCAAAATGAGAGAGTTCATGAGTGTCTTGAGTCAAATTTTTCCTATAATGAAAATTTCATTAAAAAAATGTTGGTACCATGGTGGTAAACCCGTTCATGTTGTTCAGATAGGATAAGGTAACAACCATTCAGGGTTGTAATTCTACATCTAGATACGGCTAATAGATTTATGGTGGATCTTGAAATGAATTGTAAGATTTTAGATTCAGTAAATCCTTCATCAGGTATTTCACTGTCACTTTAGAGCCCATTTGAAGTTTTGAATCATCCTCTAGTTTCAAGATTCAAGTACTCGGTAGTAGATTCAACAATACATACTATATCCAATATCTAGGCGGCGGTTAATTATCCTTCACTTTTGACTAATTATACCTCATCCTACTATGTTCTCTTTTGTAGAGGCTTGTGCTTGGTCAAATGCACGGACAGGCGGAGGCGTGAACCAATGGGTGAGGGCAGAGTTCCGAATAATATAATATGATATTATATTGGCTTTTCCAAAAATACAATAAAATATATTTGTATTGCGTTTCAACACAATACAATATATTGGTATTGTCAATCAAACAATACAATATATTGCAAAATCTAATATAAAAAATTAGACATATTGAGATCATCTATTCTGCTTCGCTTTTTGCGTGGCTCGGGTCATCTTCTTCACAATCGGTATGAACCACAATTGAGACCAAGGCCATGTTACAAAGGTTGTGGTTCTGTTTGAGGAACAGTAACGCATCTAGAGTACGACGCAGCAGTCGTTGGCGTTTGTTCAAAAAGATTCGCTTGTTCATAGAGAATAGCTGCTCGACATGGTTTGATGTAGGCAGTAGAAATCTGGTATCAATGTAGGTAGATCGATTGGATTGCTTCATTCGCTGTCGCTTGAGTGCGCGTTCTGCAAAAGAAAGTCTAGTATCATCATATTCTTTCCGCGCATCGGTATTTGACATCTTCAGGCATAGAACAACCTCCTTTTCATTATCTAGCATTTTGCGCTCTCTTCCCCATTGAATCTTTATGATGACATCTTCAAATGTGAAATTGTGAACGATGGGCGCATCAGTTGAAAGATATTAATCGAAATGGAAATTTGGAAAACTATGAATGAGAGATTGGAATAAAGTTTGAGATTTCCAAATAATGACATTCTCTTTTTGCAACGATTCGGTCACTGATTTGAAATCATATAATGCGCTAGTATGGTGGCGAATGATGTTTCGTTGGCCAGCAATTGGAAGGAGTTCCGCTACATTGGGATTGGTGTCGTCAATGTGAGGTCGTAGCCTTTCGTAGCGATCAAGCATTTTGATCACTCCGAGCCAACAAGTCTTATTGCGTTTAACAAGACGCAATGAGCTAGTCATGCGCAATCTACTCGCATCTTTCAACGTTGAAAGCTTGGACATCAGATTTCTCATTAAATCAACCTCGCTTTCTAGATATCGATCAATGTAAGCTTCAACTGCCAAGTTCAACCGATAGCTGCGACAGCCTAACAGTGGGAATCCGAGTAGGTTTGTTGTTGCACAATTCATACTTAAGTTGTCACCTATCAAACAAATGAGATCACTAACAGGCAGATGATATTAATCTAGTGTTGCTAGAATAAAATCTTGATGATTGACTGCAGTGAATGTAGTTTCGTCCAGCAATGGCGCAAATGCCAAGAGATGGATGTCAAAAGAGGATGATGCCGTATCTTGAGCAGGAAGAGTGATGAATAAATAAACAAAATGAGTGAAATCTTCCGTAGAGCCATCAAAGATCAAGGCATAGCGTGATGCAGCTAAAGCGAATGTTGTTTTCTTTTTTTCAACAGCATCCACCAGCATAATCATATACTTCTTCAGAGTTTTGGAGCAGATCTTTGGCAGGTTCGTGATCTCTCTGGTACGATCTTTTTTGCAGAAACTTGGCTCGTGCTCATCCATGACTATCCAATCCAGCCATTTGTATATACCGCGCGACTTTGAATCAATCATATATTCGAACGTGGTTTGCTCAACTCCATTGTTGGAAAATGTGATCTGCTTGAGGATGATTCCAGAGAATGCGCCGCGTAGATCTTGAGATAATCTAGATGCTTGCTCTTTACGTGGGTACAAGGTTATTGTACCCATTTTTCATGACATCACATTTCCGTTCTACTCCACATTTACACTTCCAGATGTTCTCAGAAGAAGTAACCTTGTCGTAGAAGAGTCAACATATTGCCTTGGACTACGGGGGAACGGTTGGTTGAGTGATCTTACTGCTCATGATCAGTATCCGTCTTATTCTCAGAACCTCCTTACCACTTCTCCGGCAGCAACCTCTTCGACGCCCCTGGGAGAAGTAAATAATATATAGGACTGTACAACGATACATGTCACAAGTAGTAAGCGTGGCGGTTCTCGGTAATTTTTATACATTTGCTAGAAAACACTACATGAACAAGTACTTATGAATGATCTCTGTACATGTGATTATTAAGCACGAGCCCGTCCATATACAAAAAAAGAGAACAAAAAATGACAAAAAAACAGAAAAAAATCTTGGCATGATTCTCTAGATCACTGGAGGCTTCAGAAGAGCACTACACATTTAAGAAATATAGCTGGCCCCATAACTTAGATTGGGATATTATCATCAAATCACAGATCGAGACGGTTATGGAAGCAGTCGATTGTTATTCAAACAACATTGTACAAGTTCTCAGAAGTCCAGAGTCAGTTCTTTACCTTACTGAAGATTCGTCCACAACTTCGTCAAGCTGAAAATGACATAATAGCAACAGGCTCACTTTGTCTCGATGACAAAAAGCAAACGAGAATATGAGGGTAGTAATACATTTGATATAGTATTGAACCTTTCTTCATTTGTTTCAAGCACTATACAGGTAGAAGAGGAGAGAACCAACCTGGTTAGGATCAAGCTCTCAATCTAGCAGTGCTGTTTTATTATCTATAGCTCCTTGTTGTATATCGAGCCCAATCACGTAGCCTGCAGTTGCTTCTTGAAGCACAAGCTTTGCCAGCATAAGCGTATTATGACCGTTGCCGCAAGTGGCATCAATGACCGTATCTCCAGGCCTGACTATTGTCCTCTAGACTCTACAGCAAGTTCATACATCAGAGAAGATTGACCTTGAACCTCAAAAGCTAATGCACTGAGCATAAAAAATGAACTATGCGAGCACAAAAAACGTTGTACATTGCAAAACTTTGAGAATGCCTACACAACCCGTATTCAATTTTTTTGCCTGAAAGCTAGTATGTCAAGCACATGAGTCCAGTACATCTATGCATCTGAAAGGCGTGACTTACTTGTGGGCTATGGAAGTGGTTTTGGAACCATCAAAGATGAAATCGGTTAAAGCGGCTTCAACTCTTTCCTCAATGTTCAGGCCTGCATCATGCTCAAGGAGCTACAATGGACAACTTATACTTCTCAATTGCGGCTTCTTCTACATTCCTGGGAAACATACAAGCTTCTAAATAACCAAAAAGTCAATCGCAAGCTCTCGAAATGAAGCATTTCCTCAAATAGATGCACATAAAAAGGTAATTGCTACTCTGAAGTTAAGCTTGCAAGTCATATTAAAATTTCGGAACATTCCGCAGACGGCTCGGGACTCAAGAAACATCAATTTTTACTCCCTGACATATGTGGATAATGTGAAAACATTGATGGTAATTCTTCAGGCCACAAAATCATGCAATACAATTGAAGAATGAGGGCTAGGAATGCATGACAGAACACCATTCCGACTCACTCACGTTCGGTGAAGAAGCATGTATGCCCCCGCGCATAGTAAACTTTGCATTCCTAGGATCGTCAAAGAAGAAGAAAAAGATGAAGAAGGAGAAGGAGAAGAACTAGTGTTCGTTCATATCCCCTTGCAAACCTTTCAAGCAAAACGTGTCCGCCTACTCCAAGTTAATCTCAGAACAGGTGGACGCTCCCCAAGCAAACGCCACCTTACCTTTCTTCCACCAAGCAACGGTCCAATCAAACAAAATTTTCCTTTGAATGAACGGTCCAATCCGGCAAATCTCCAATCAGACAATAGTATTGATATTGTATTGAGCAACAATACAATATATTGCTATTGGAGTCAGGACCAATACAATGTATTGAATACAATATAATATAATATATTGTTCGATAAATATATTATTCCCAATCTCTGGATGATGGCACAAGTAAACCATTCTGTTCTGAATCTATGCTACAAATCTATTGGCATCTGTCGGACCTTCGATGGGCACTAGTTCAATGGATCTCGAGGTCCGTGCGCCAGTTTGGCACAGTAGAAGAGTCAAAACTGAGTGTGGGAGCTCCAAGGCCAAGAAGATGGAACCGATGATGAAAATCCAAGCGGCGTTGCTCACTTACTTTGACAAGCGGTTACGGCTACCTTGCTCTGCCGATTGCCTCTTCATTCCTGCCCCCATTCCACCCAAACCCTGCCTTGAATTCTGCCCTAGATCAGCCAACATTGAAGAATGCTGCTCTTCAATTCGTCTTTCCATGTTCAATTCGACACAGTTGTAGGCAAGACGGATATACTCATGAAGTAGCACCCACGCGAAAACTATATCCTATTCACGTCCCACATCTTACCAATCACAGACCTCTACAAAAAAGAATATAGTAAGCTGAAGGATAATTAGCCAAAAGTGAGGGATAACTAACCGCTCCCAATATCTAACATTGAAATACAACGATGATATCTATGTGAAGACTACAAGTCAAAGTTTCATCACTGTTTCTAAATGCCTAGTATATTATATCGGATTGCTTAAAAAACATAATGTTGTATAGTAGCAAAGAAGATTTAATATTCTAAATGACATTTCTTTGTATGTGTTTCAAAGAAAAAATTTCAGTGTATTTTGTCATGAATTATCAAATTTGAAAGAAAGATAAGTAAAATTTTTTAATAATTAAGATAATAAAAAAATATTGCAAACATTTTCCAACAAAAAAAAATGTATTCTACATTTAGTCTCGAAACCAAAAAATTTTGAAGATTGAATATTGTTAGAATATTTCAAAGCTATCAACTACTGATTTAGTTCAAATCAAATATGAAATATCAATATATCGATATGAAAACAAGTTTGATTGTTATTGCATGCAACTATCGTTTAGTGTCTATTTTAATTGATTTTGATTTTTCAACATTATAATTTAAATCATATTGGTTAAAAGAACATCAATAATCTTACCTTCACACAACAATACTTTTTAGAATCATTAAAAATCATTTTTGCCACATATTTATCAAATCAATAATTTATGTTTTAGGATTTATTTGTATCATGATTTTAAATCCAAAATGATAATTTATTTCATCATTGATAATTTTTTAAATATAATTATCTACAAATCATCAACAAAAAAATTATTTGAAATATATATTTGTGATTTAAAAACATTTAGAAAATATTTTAATTAAATTGAATTAGTAAATTATGATATATTTTTTGTTGATATAACTTAAATTTTGAAAGATAAACACTTTTCATATGATATGATTTTAGCTTTATAGAATAGTTTTGAAATTTTACATAAAATACTAAAATGTAATCATGTTAAGATAAATTTATGAGGTATCGTAAGCGGTCCATCATGTTATAAGTATGGATTTGTCTAATTGGACTATTTGCGGATTGCATAATATAATATTGTATAATATCAAATGTATTATACAACACACAAAGATACAATTCCGTTATAGATTTTATACTCGTACATCTTCTCCTTTGTCTTGAAGTTATACTCGTCATGAATGCCGTCGACATCCTCAGATATATCAATGCAATCAAATTCATCAATGATATCACCACCATCATACTCATTCTCATCGAAAGTTTTCTCTTCAAGTTGAGCTCCAAATCCACTCTTAAGGCAAAGTTGATGCAGCCATATGCAGATCTTTGTATTTCTTGTTGTAGAGATTTGACGATCGAGCTCTTTTGAATTGAACAATATGGCGGTCCCAGTTTCAATCTTGTATTTGCTCAACTGAGCTTGTGAGTGATTATGAAAGCGTTTGGTCCCCTTGTGATTGCGTTCATTTCCGTTTGTCCTTGTCGGATTCTTTGTGCAATGCAAAGAGACAATCTTTGATGACATTGTAGTAATGATCGTCAGATAAGGTACATAATTCAGAAGCTTTGAATTTGATGTCACTAAAATCATCATCTTTGTACTTCTGACGCATAATTGACTTTGCAATGAATGACTCAATACGAACTTCAACGGTCGGTTTATCAAGAAATTTCTTGATTGCAGAAACTATAAATTCAACTTTGTCACGATCCTAGTGCGTATAGACTTCGTATATATCTTCAAGAAGAGTTGATGAATCATCGTCACACTCTATTCAATATCATTTTTAGTCAAAGTCAATGCGTCATTTACTACAGATTTGAGTGTCTTAATGTGGAACTTGATTGTCTTAAAGCAGAAATACATAGCTAGAAAATGTCAATTTCACCACTTTTAAATATGTTATACATGAGAAAATCATTTTAAAGAATGCTTTTATTGCAGATACGTACTTTCAATAAAACCAAAGCACTAGAATCGTGACAAAGTTTAGCCAAAATTTTTTGCAATCAAAGAAATACTTGATCAACCAAGAGTTGAAGCTTGCATTCAACCATCTTGCAAATGTAGATTCATTGTCTACGGAGTTCATTCCTGATTTTTGATTGATCTGTACCCAAAATTATCAATTTGTCGCATATATCAATGTGATAATTGGTGTTAAAAATTTTGCTTAGCAACAATGCACATGCCAATTTGCTCGTACTGGCACGCTGAAAGTTGTAGTAGACAAGAGCCCATTGAATTATTGTAAAGAATATAAACATGTTCGTCTTCTAGTAACTTTCAATGCTTGGATTATCAAACAATTCTAATAAAACATGGGACGACTTTAACGTCTTGACCATATACCGTATCTATTTTAAAATGCAATTCATTCCTGAATACTTTGCACAATTTCATGCAAAGTTTGTGGATTGCATGAGGTGCACAACCGTACACAAATATGAACTCGTTCGATTTGAAACATTCTTTGTGCATATTACACATGATGCTCGGTGAATTGCTTTCGAAGCTAAATATTGATGGATTACTAAAAGGTTCATTCTTGATGCATAACGATTCTTCTTCACCTTGCTATTCTACAATTTCAAATTAGTTATCTAGATCTATAATACTTTTGATATAACTTGATAAAACAAAACTTGGAGTAGGGTTTCAAATATTTCTCAAAAGGTGCAACTTGCATTACAAAACCTTCCAAACAAATTCACTGCACTATTTCTAGGCAATCCTATTGTAACAAGTTCCAAGAAAATTTCAATTGATGAACAAGCCATCAAGTTGATCACCTACTTAACTTACACATTCTTTCATAGACTTGTTCAAAGTAAGGCAGATCTGCGACATCTTGCAAAAAGAACATCATTCATCACATATTTATACTTATCCCGCGATAAATGACCGCCAATAGCTTATCTAAAAGTAAGTTGGAAACAATCACAAAACGACTTGAAGAACAACTTCCATGTCGGATTCTCAAAGGTGGCAAATAGCAAAAACGTGTGGTGAATAACAGCTGCAAATAATGTATCGAGCTTCTTCTGTTCATATTTATTCAATAAATCAATATGATTCTTACAACTAGAGAAGAAATTGTAGTCAAAATCATTTAGGGACACTGACTTGTTCCAGTTGATGTTGGCAAGGATTTAAGTATTGGCAAACTAACGAATAATTGCATCATCTTATATTGAGATGGTTGGAATCCACAATACAAATGGATTATTCATCTATAATCTTGTATAGATTAAAAAATCCCAAGATCACTAGATGTTGTGAACGGAACCCAGATGAGTTCTCAACTTGACGATCCAAGATGGATGGTAAAATAATGCAGTAACAATGCGGTCCAATGGTGCATTTTGTGATATGCGAGGCGTACTATCACTTTGCTTTTCAATATGACATCAGTAATTTTGAGGCACATGTTCACCTCAAATTACATGATTATGAAGGCACAAGATAATTGTAGGTTTTTCAACTTTGAAATAAGCTCTATTCTAATTTTATATAATATATATGCTGAAATCTATCGTGTTTCAATTCATTTTGTTCAAAATGTTATGCTTCGAGCAAAATTTTTGTTTTTTTATGGTTAGAATAGTGATTGCGCATGCAATTCATTGCCTCAATCAGCTGTGCGTTGTTTTTGTTCAAAATGCTATGCTTTGAGCAAATTTTTTGTTTTTTTATGGTCAAAATAGTGATTGCGCATGCAATTCATTGCCTCAATCAGCTGTGCGTTGTTTTTGTTCAAAATGCTATGCTTTGAGCAAAATTTTTGTTTTTTTATGGTCATAATAGTGATTGCGCATGCAATTCATTGCCTCAATCAGCTGTGCGTTGTAACCGAAATACTTGCAGTACATTGATCTTACATCATCATTTCTGCCACAAGCTCCGAACTTATATCAAATAGCATCTTTTGGCTTCTCCATTTCTTATAATCTATGACAAATATGAAATTTCACACTTGTAGCAAGTCAGCAACACTTGTGCGTAATCCCGCGGACTCCACTACTCTTGACTTCTTGCTATAGAATTATACAAGGTATAGTTTGCGATTGATATATAATACTTGTCTAATAACACTTGTATATGTTAGAGTTCAAGTTGTGGAATATCACTTAGATCGGACTTGAACATTGAGAGTAAAATTCGTGTTAGCTAAGTGGCGAACGACGATATTTTTTGCGTGTATTGTACTCTTGGAATTTTGTGTGAATTTGATACTACAAATAGTAAAAGAGGTCAATTTCTTGTTTATTAAGTTCATTTCCAAAGAAGATTTCAATTGTTTTTTGCTGTAGTTTGTTGAGCGACTTGAAGAATTTAGTAGAGCTAGAAGAGTGTTCTTACGAAAGATGGTTGGTTGAATGATCGGTCGAGTAAAAGAATAAATTTAGTCAATTTAGTTGCTTATGTACACGTGTTGGAATCACTGATTTGTGATCAGTGATTCCAACAGGTGTCAAACTGTTTTAACCAGTAAGAAGTCTTGTACATATAGTGTAGTAGTCTACAACGGTAATCTATAACGGTAGTGTGGTAATCCACTTTTTGTTTTTGGTTGAAATTAAAACATTTTTGGAAAATAAGTACCGCTGTAGCAACTGTAAATAGTAATATGTACAAAAAATAGAGTAAAAAGGGAGAATTGCGCGTCACGGAGAATCTAGGCGTTGGCCTTGAGGGATTTTACAATTTCGGAAGTTCAGTTCAGGAAGTCGTTTCGTCTGCGCTTTTGTGTATTTTGTTCTGTCATCGTGCAAAAGGGATTGTAGAATTGTCGAAGTTACCGCAGCCTATAGCTGAAGGTATTCGTTCGAATGTTTTGAGCTAGCAGATAGTCTAGTAAGGATTTGAAATTTGGACTTACATCTTCAGACAATTTTTCCATGTTTGTGTTCCT